GTGTGTGTGTGTGTGTGTTGTGTGACTGTGTGTTGTTATGTGTGTCTCTCTATTATTACAGTGTATAAAAATTTAGATCAATTATGTAAAATTTCGCTGAAAAGCCTTTTAAGGGATGTGAAATTAAAATACAATAACAATAACAATAACAATTCAGTTTCACGTTCAGATCAGAAAAGGAATAAGCGAAACACAGTGGACTCCATATATATATCTGGAGTGATAACTCGAGTGGAAAAAGTGAAGTCAAAATTAATGATGGAGATATTGGATGTCAGTTCCAGTCCAGTCTGTAAGGAATGTGTTGAAATTTCGTATTTTGACTTCGGTTTAAAGAATAATACTATGGTTTTATGAACTGATAATTAGCGATACGGTTAATGACTGGCGAAAGACTGCAACCGTGTATGCAGGTAACAGTGGCGGAAATCTTGGTGGGGCTGGGGGGGTCGGCGGCCCCCCCCCCCCCCACCTTCACGGAAAATTGACGAATTTTCGGAAATTTTGACCTAAAAGAGGGCTAAAAACAGTCTTTTCGAGTGCAAATGGGGGGGGGACGTCGGAAATTTGAAAGTTTTGTCGGAAATTTAGGAGGCTTTGCCCCCCCACCGGAAAAAGTGAATTTCCGCCACTAGCAGGTAAAATGCCTGGGCACGAGTGTCGGCTGAGTACAAAAGCGCGCCAATGTTAGCTGGGTACCTGTAAGCTTCGCGGTATAAACAACCTTGTAATTTCACTATAGTACACAAAGCTTTTTACCAAGAAACACATTAGGGCCATTTATACGGAACAAAATAAGACGCGACTTACATAAGACGCGACTTAAGTAAGACGCGAGTTTGTGGTATAAAAGGTACAAAATTCTTATGTAAGACGCGTCTTGGATAAGACGCGTCTAGCTTACATAAGAACAGGACTTTTAGCTGTTCTTATTTAAGTCGCGTCTTAAATAAGAAATTTTAGACAAAAAGTCTAACTACACATGCCAGAAACTTGAAACAACGTAAAATTATTAGCCTTGCATATTAAAACAAAAACAACCAAAACAACATTATAGCTATAGCAAATAAATAAGACTAAAGCCGTAAATTTAAGTCACGTCTTATGTAAGTCGCGACTTATTTTGTCACGTATAAATGGCCCTATTGAGCTAGATATTTAATGACTTTAATAGCAACAACAGCTAATACTGGTGCACAACGTTATATTAACATTTCTCTGGCACAAATTTACAATGTGGATACGATCAAATGCGCTTTACATCAAGTATTACGCTTATACATAATTACTTACTTACCCTAGACTGTTTTATCTTTACAACAATTGTGATATTACTTTCTCAACTGTGTTTATCCTAACCCACCCTGTCAATTTTCCCTGTGGGAGGAAACCAGATCACCCGGAGAAAACCCGCGATTTTCGTCAGAGCGTTGACTGACTCTTTTCACATGAGTCCGTAGCGAGAATCAAACCCACGTTCTCAGAGTGCTGTCTGAAACATGCGCGTTTCCAACTGAGGAGTGCTTAAAGCAAGTGCATTTTGTAACGTACAAATTTGAGAAGAATACAAGGGTTGACATTCGTTACTGCGTCTGTGAGATACAAGAGTCTATGAGATGCAACAGGTGGTAGCGTTATATGCACTCAACTGAACAACCGAAAGACGAAAATAAAATTCACGCCTAAAATATCGTAATAATGAATTAAACTACCCACTTACTTTGCATACAGAAACAGCCGGAGATTCTCGCAAAGAATGACGATAAATCTTCCAAAGTCTTTCGCTTGTTTTGACTCCTCGTGCGTAATTATCCGCGGAAAGCCCAAAGTATAGCCGCGGCTTCGTATAATTACCTTCGAGACACTAAATACGCTAGTAGTAAACACTCGCCGACGGGTACTTGAAGCATAGCACGTGTGTATATGGGCGGGGATATTGAATAAAGACTGACGCGCTACACAAAGCTGATAATCAAATAATACGCCGACAATAGTGTGATTATTCATTTGTATTCACGTTTGCTTAAGAACCTGAATGAGTTTTAAGCCCTTGTGATTATTTGCACTGGACATGCGGTGAACGCCGCGCGTATATCTTTGAAGGACAATAGCCCAATTTATTGATAGTATATGGTGATAAGTTTCTTTGCTTTGAAAGACAAAGAAAACGACTTGGTATATATAGAAATATACCCATTTTTTCGATAAATATTGTGCAGGGTTTTTTGTTGTTTTTTTTAAATTGCTTAAAAATCATATAAAAAGATCGATGGCAACAGAACATAAGTCTTATTCTGGTGAAGAAACATTTGCTCGTCTGTGTAGGGCGAACATTGATATTGAAAATCTCGGAATTATTTGCTACATTTAATATCATTTTCCTCCTAGCCATATAGGCATTTCCAATTTCATTAAAAATATTAATATCGACTTAGGTGATTAAACAGCATGTAAAATCCCTCGATATCACACCTGAAGTCGTAACCGAGAGGATTTTGAAGAGTTTAGCAGTGCAGAAATTATGCACTGCATGTAAATTTCAAAAGTTAAATCAACTCCAAAAGGAGCAAAAGTGTTATTCAGAACGAGATTCAGAATCACATTCTTGAATGATTCCAGCAAAAGACTAAATTTTGATCTAGGCAAGAAGAACAAAATCCATCACCACAGCTAGAAAGAGCATGTTAAAATTAGTAAAATTGCAAAGTTTGGTTGCGAAATGTTGTAAAATGAGGAAAATCCAGCCCTATGAAATTTGCAAATTTTGTATTAATTTGTGTTTCGCACGGAAAATTGCACCACTTCCGCGTTTCGGCCCAAATGTGGTGCATTTTCCCGCGCGTAATACAAATTAATACAAAATTTGCAAATTTCGCAGGGCTATATTTTCCGCATTTTACAACATTTTGCGGCCAAACTTTGCAGTTTTACTAATTTTAACATGCTCTTTCTAGCTGTAGTGATGGATTTTGATCTTCTTGCCTAGATCAAAATTTAGTCCGCTATAGCTGGAATTGCCTATACCTTGTTCTTGAAATTTACAGTGTGTACTGATTACATTATCCCGTCAGTTAATGCACTGCAAGAGAACTAGCTACAGCATGTTTGTCTGATATCACACTATACTTTGTGACTATCCTTTCCTTCGATCTGGTTCACAAAAATTAAACATTTTAGTCTTTTCAACCATTTTAATCTTTTCAACCGGACTTTTCCCACTATACCAATCAAACTTGTCACAAACTCTTCCAACAAGTCCAATATCGTTATAGAATATAAACGAGTTATTTTCAAACAATTTTGCTGACCCGTTGAAGTCGGCTGACGTTGAGCCAAAGCTTCTTAAAAGATGTTCGCAATTTCGTTACGAATTTTCATTAACTGAAAATACAACTTGTTGTGTTCTTCGCGCGCTATATGTATACAAAACGTCGCGCAGCATTCAGACGCCGGAGATTGATATTGAGATACCTGCATTACTTCAACGAATATTGCCTGCCTTCACTTTCAAATAGCTACCTTTTAGCTACGCTTTTATCTTTAGCGGCTACATTTCGGAGAGCTTTCTATAGCGACGTGAAAAATCCTATCCGTACCTTTTAGGACGCTATTTTCAGACGAATTATTATTGCAACACTGAGATGTTGTTTCGCCTAGTTTCTGAAAGTTGTACATTCCGTATTGGATAAGTGCTTTTTCGCGCCGCCACCGAAAGCTATCGGTTATAGTGTGAACGTAGCCTTATTTAGTACGCTGTGGTTTTAAATCCTTTTGTTAAAACCCTCTTTTATGCTCTATTGCACAAGCTACCTACACTACAAGCCTCAAATTATCTAAAGAAATGTTGTTGAATTATTGAAACACCACTGAAAAACCAAACAGAACAAGGAGAACAAACCTGCTATTAAGTCTTCCCAATTTTTATAGTCCACGGTGAATTTTCCACATTTTCAATACAATAAGCAATAATCCTCAGTAATGTTGTAATCAGAACTACAAATATATACAAGTAGGTATATTACGACCACAATCTCGAGCTGTCATGACTCGTGGTATAAAACCCCAGAAATTCTGATTCATTTATAGACGGATCTTGCTTTTCCACTTAAACCAAAATTAATTAACACTTTCGCCACGACGCTTTACTTGTTACCACGAAAACAAGGTGGCAAAATCGTTTTTAATCTTTAAGAATGCACACGTTGTATGGTAATACTAATAACTTCACACTTGTCGGTGTAATTAATGCAAATTGCCCTTGCCTCTCTTTAAAACGATACTGGCTTTAGTGTACGTTTGAATTGAATATTAAACTGCTTAGATTCGTGGCAACGCACCTTCGTCTAGTAAGAATGTTGAAAGAGTTAAATAAGAGCAAACACAACAGAATAATGTTTGAATGGTTCTTTTGTTAAGATGGAAAAATAGTTTGATTCATAGTCTATGCAGCCAGGACTACAAATTAACTGAAATTACTAAATTAGAAGGTAATATTAATAATTAAAACGTTTAATATAAGTTAATATTGTGGTTAACTTATTACTGCACAAAATTCTCTATAAAACCAATAAAACTCTCTGCCAAGTGTGTCAATCCTGGGGGGGGGGGATGCACCCCTGATGTTTTGGACATTTGTAATATAATCTGTAATAAATTAGGTCAGTTGGGCTGACTCACCCTCCCCCCCCCCCAATTTGAACAGTTAGGGTATAAGAGGAGGGAGGGGGTACAAAGGGAGGGAGGAGGTACAAAGGGAGGGAGGGGGTACAAAGGGAGGGAGGGGGTACAAAGGGAGGGAGGAGGTACAAAGGGAGGGAGGGAGTACAAAGGGAGGGAGGAGGTATAAGGGGAGGGAGGGGGACATTAGGGGGTATTGTGTGTGTGTTTAACCTCTTTGACCAGGGTTTGATTGCTGCAATATACAGTTTTCTGATTATAATTTCCCCTCAGTCATGTATGAACACAGAGTTTCCAGTTTGTCTACCAAACACTGCTGGTACTTGTTTACTCCTGTAGTAGCACTGATGAAATGGTAGCGGCCCATCTAGACCTTGACATTGAACAATTTAGAGCTGCTATCCCACAATCATTACACTAAAGTTTTTCTTTAGTTCATTGGTTTCCTCTGTAACCCACACTGGACCAATGTGGGCTGGTCTTCACTGGACCAACCATCAGCAACCAGTGCATCTTTATCAGAAAGTCTGGTTTATGAAAACCAATGCTATCACAGTCTGGAAAATTTAACCATGGTCAACAGTCATTACTGACTTTTCAAAAATTCAACAATCCACTCATAAAGTGCTTACTGGATATGTTTAGAATATTTTTCATGTATGGTGCTTTCATTTATTCACAAAACACCACCATGTCTACCATAAGCCACAAACACAGTGTAAATGTAATGTCGTGAGTAAGTCAAGACTGTGTTATTTCAAAAAGGTGTGCGGGAAGATCAAGGAATGTACCAATAATTTAGCTTTTGAAATAAAAGTTGCACACTGAAGACCTTGCACACTCTTCTGTGCACACAACAAAAAACAGTCTGGTCCGAGACAACCTCTCTTCTCCCCATTTCTGCCACCCAACAGATCTCCAAGTTAATAATTCACAGACAAAACAATTAATCAATTATATTTTCAAACAATTGAGCAATCATTTCACACTGCAGGTGGTATTTGATAAAAATAATAAAAGGTCATCGTTTATGATATATAATTTGCTTGTTTATAAATTTATACTTGACAAATTGATTAAGCATTTCACTTAAATTGAGCCTTTAAACACAAACATTTTCCCCAAAAGAAATACGACAGCTACTCTAATCTATTCTGCATTTCAAAAGCCGAAAAGAAACACGAAAATATATTGATGTTTATATCAACTGTGCCAAATTAGCGAGCATGGCATACAACCAACAAACTAATATTTATAAATGCACACTATTATACTGTAAACTATGTCTCTTAAAGTTTAAATCATTTATATGATAAAAACACATCTTTGAGAAAATTATATCAAAGAACTTACCTTTTAAACGCTACAGGAAACTCTCGTTTAAAACAACAGCGAAGCAAAATGCACACGAGGCGACTTTAGACCACACGTGCAAACAAGATCCAGGAAGCATATACGAGTTGCAAATTTAAATATCACTTTAATAAACCTTCACTCTTGCTCTGTAAATATTACAACAAATGCGTTGAAAGTTCTATTCACCATGCTAAGTTTAAAAATTTGAAATAAACAAACAGGAATCCCTCAAATTCCACCACAACCGTGGGGTATTGTTGAGACTGGTCTTGTCAGATCTTGTTCCAAATCTAATACGTCACGATTAATAAAGCAAATCAATTAATGGGGATTAAAATATGGCGTTTTTCCGGCTGCAATTTCCGAAAAATACACTTTAATACGTTTTTGATTTTTCCAGAAAGTTTTAATACTATAATCCTTATTATATTTCTAAAGTGTTCTTCTCCAATAGTTAAAAAAATTATGGAAAAGTATCGAGTGTAAATGGGATTTTCTCAGGAGTGAAAATTGTCCAAAATTAATCATGGGCCATGGCAAAATAGTGATTACTGCAACAAATCAGTTTAATTATGAACAAGGGACTAAGGGAGGCACAGTTTAAATGCATTTGCACATTGCATAAAAATCTAGGCATGATTATATATTAGTTAATGGAGGAAGGATAAAGAAAACAATACCAAGTGGGAGGCAATCCATTCCACTGAATCCAGAGAAGAATGTAAAAGGGTGCTATTAATCTTTTCCTGGATTGAAAAGATGTAACTTAAAAATCTCACAGCTTGTTCCAATTGTTGACAAGTCTGGAACAAGTGGTTATCATCTTGTAACAAGAATGATGTGGTCAATAGACTCGCAATATAACAAGTCGTCAACAAGTTGATGATAACAAGTTCATAGCAACTTGGTACGAACAGCATGCATGTATTGGCAAACAAGAACCAACTACAACTACTCTTTTAATTTCGTCCAATTCAAAAGCGGTTGTCTATCAAAATAACATCGTGTTATCATGGTGAACGGTTGACTAATTTTCTTTCGTGGTTATCATTATGGACGAACAAAAACACACTGTTTTTTTTGCCCAAAGAACGATCAAGGGCGAACTTAAGGCTACTAAAAAACCAGCTTAATAAATTATCTGATTTAAATAGATTTAAATACTGCGCCCTTAAAACATGAGCCCATTTGGCGAATATTTTTAATCCTAATGAACCAAGAGTTTATTGAAGGCCTTCAAAAAATCTCTCTCTTACTAGATTAGTTAAAACTTGATAAATCCACTCAAAGATATTATTTTACAGCTTGTGTTTTATTGCCTTTCGTATTACATTTTGTGTTGAATAAGTTAGTAGCTAAAACTGTGAAATAAAAATAATTTATAAGTCTAAAAACTCAACGCCAAAACTTTATCAACGTTGATTTCAACACGAGGTAAAACAGGACAGAAGCAAGGGCAATACAACGCCTCTGCCTTCAGAATCCGTCGTTTTCTCCATAATATTGTATATTATCTTTCAAAAACTTGGTTAATATACAAGTTATTGTTCATATATTAATCTTTTAATATTTGTGTTGTCACGCTAATATATTACAAAACTATATAAATATATTACAAACTCTAAATGAGATTTAAAAACATTGATGTTCAAGTACTTGTCTCCATATTATTGGCATACTAGAGTCTGCGATGACCTCAAGCTAGGTACAGATGGGAGTTTTATTGCTGTCTATTTCCACCTGATTTATCATACCTGTTGCTCAGTTAGACTAAAAACAAGAAATAAGATTAGAACAGCGGTTTAGAACTGATAGAGCTCTCCAGTATAAATAAAGTTAGTTTAGTTTAGGTTTCCTCCTGTGGTAACACTGGATCAATAAGAGATGACTCTTACTGGACCTCTAGGGAAAACAGTTTAGAACTGATAGAGCTATCTAGTATAAATAAAGTTAGTTTAGTTTAGGTTTCCTCCTGTAGTAACACTGGATCAATAAGATGACTCTTACTGGACCTCTAGGGAAAACAGTTTAGAACTGATAGAGATATCCAGTATAAATAAAATTAATTTAGTTTAGGTTTCCTCCTGTAGTAACACTGGATCAAAAAGATGACTCCTTCTAACACTGAGTGATCAATAAGAGATGGTCCTTACTGGACCTCTAGGGAAAACAGTTTAGAAATGAGAGCCATCCAGTATATTGTATGTACATAAATTTCGTACGAGACTTACGGTTTCCCTTCTTCTCCTTCGACAGTCCTCACTCGTACTTTCTGGACATCCTCGGCGTTCTTTCTGTGAAAGTGTACTCGATGGTGTCGACTCGTCTTGCCGTGCTGCTTGTCTCGAGTTTTCCTGGATCTTCGTTTCTTTGCTTGACTCGATGTCGTTGACATCCCACCCTCGGTTGACTGTGAGAGTAGCTTCGCTTGGACCACCCTGGAATATAAAAATATACATTGATAGAGCTGTCCAGCAACACTGGATCAATAAGAGATGATCCTTACTGGACCTTTAGCAAGAACAGTTTAGGACTGATAGAGCTATCCAGTATAAATATAGTTAGCTTAGTTTAGGTTTCCTCCTGTAGTAACACTGGATCAATAAGAGATGACTCTTACTGGACCTCTAGGGAGAACAGTTTAGAACTGATAGAGCTATCCAGTATAAATATAGTTAGCTTAGTTTAGGTTTCTTCCTGTAGTAACACTGGATCAATAAGAGATGACTCTTATTGGACCTCTAGGAAGAACAGTTTAGAACTGATAGAGCTATCCAGTATAAATAAAGTTAGTTTAGTTTAGGTTCCTCCTGTAGTAACACTGGACAATAAAGAGATGATCCTTACTCGACCTCAACGAGGGAAAACAGTTTAAAACTGGTAGAGTTATCCAGTATTTAAATAAAGTTAGTTTAGTTTAAATTTATTGCCCACTACTTACAGATCATTGTCATCATCACTCAAAGAGCTTAATGAGCTGCCAGAACTCGCCTCAGACCCCGCCTTCGTCATCTCGGGCACAGGTTTAGCCACAAGTTGAGGTGATGGCTGCTCTGGCTGTGACGCCTCGTTTCCACGTGCCGTACCGTTCTTTAATATCGAAGGCATCCTAGGCCGGGGAAGTGGCTCGACTGTAGCGACAGGTGTGTCAGTCAGTGGTTTCTTCTTTAGTAACCGCGCCTTCTCTTGCTCGAGTTCTGAAACAGAAAGACATATTCAGATGTAGTCTGCTTGCTTGCACAAACTGTCATAACTTCTGACGTTGATCACCATCTTCTGTCTTGTAACGATCACTGAAAGCCACTAATCAGTAAAAGCTACGTTTACACACAACGAGTAATCGGGCCGATTTCAGGTTTTGCCGAATGTTAATGACGAATGTTGTCTGTTGACGATGTCATCAGATGACGTTGACAGCATATATTTTCAAATATCATTTAATTAAAGCTGAATCGGGCCAAAGATTAGATACGATAAAGATTTGCCACTCGACGTATTTCCCTAATGTTTGCGTGTCCGTAATTTTCCGTGCTGATCACGAGTGATCACGCGAGATGACGAGTGCATAACACTGCCAAAATGGCGGCGAGACTGATGGCGTTGGATTTTACCATTTAGAGACTAATGGCGTTGGATTTGACACTTATCTAGTTACTGGCAAAATGACGGCTATAAAAAAATCTCGGACAAAATTTTCGCAGAGTGGCACATATTTATCGTATCTAATCTTTGATCGGGCCGATTAGTTGTGTGTAAACGTACCGTAAGAATTATTTGCAAACAGCACAGCTGACAAATGACAAACTGCCCTTAACTGGCAATATTTAAACATAAATTAAATATAAAATATACAAGATGAAGAACCTACCTAATGGTGTACTGTGCATTGGTCCATCCGATGCATAAAGAGGAGCTAGAAAGTGAAGAAAAGTCATCTAGAGGACGCTCTACCCCGACCTCTTAAAACTGAGAAGAGGCTTCTTCAACTTACTTCCATTATAAAGGTAGAATGTTACTAAGGGTCATTTCATCTTTTTAATATTTCAGCAATTAAATACCTGTTACTTTTTGTTTTTGAACGCCGTTCTCTGATTTCTGTTCCCAAGACCCAGATTCTGAAATATACAATCAAATTAGTGATAACTTGTGGGCTTTGGCTACTCCATCTTAACAAACTACATAATCTACTTACCGTCACCGGAGCTGCCGGAATCGGACGAGATCACCATCGTCTCACGTCGTTTGCCTCCGTCGGAGGAATCCGAAGATTCAGGCTGAGTCGTGCTTACTTCTGGAAATAGAAATGAAAGACAAGGTTACTCATGATATTCCCCATATGTATTACAACGACATTCAATAAACTAACCCGATTTCTCTGGCGCGTTCCACATCTTTGCAGCGGATTCTACAAGAAAGAGAATGAATGATATTCATTTGATTTACTCTGTATTTGATGTTTGCGCTGTTACTCTAGTAACATCACAAACATCATATTCACCTGAGTACACAACATCAACACAAATACTCTGTATTTATTTCACAGAATTGAAAAGGGGATCTTACCCATGTCGACCGGATCATCTTTACGAGGTTTTCGCTTTTTAACTTCTTTGTAATCTGTTAAGAAAATTGAAAAATTTAATTCGATAACTATCTTTCTTTTAAAGAGAATTATCGTTTTCAGGTCTTTCTTGCTGACCTGAAAATTCTGGCCCTTCCTCGATATATGAGCAACCAAAATAGCCCAATCATGAAATAAGCTTAGGGATTGCAAAGACTAAAAAATACACTAGCCCATAGCCTGTATCTAACCGTGCCTATCCATAACACTCCATAGGTATCTAGAGCACTCCATAGCTATCTAAACGCTCCATAAGTATATATAACACTCCAATGGTATCCACTATCTATAACGCTTCAACACTATTAGATTTAGGCTATGGGCTAGCGTATATTTTAGTCCTTGCAATCCCTACGCTTATAGTCGAGAAAGGGCCAAAATTCGGGCGTTTCAAGGGCCGGCACTGTTAGTAAAACTTAACTCCAGTCAGGCACGAATTTTCTGGGGGGTGCGGGGGAGGGGGGTGCGCACCCCCCAGAAATGATTTGCACCCCCTCAAAGGCATTTTGCACCCTAGCAAATTACATATATTTTGATTTGATAGTTTCATATTTGATTATTCTTACTACTAAATTTGTAAAATTACCAATATTATGGTCTCAGATCTCGCCAT